ACGTTTCTCTGCAGGCCTCTTCTGCCGATCCTATAACAATTTTATAACTATACAATCGCGGTGCAGGTACACCACCTGTCCATTTCGGTTGTGTACGTTTACGAAACTCATTGCACAAGTGCTCTGTTCGCTCGAAGGAACCAAAACTAACAGGGTTTATTACTGCCAATGATATTCAAGTACATCTCGTGCTCGCACAATAGCCAGCACCAAACATACTTCAAAGAAGAGAAGCAGTGAGAGCGAAAAAAACAATGTTTCAGACTGTAGGATTTCGCAAGATTATTTATAGTTTCTCGTTCGATGAGATTTACGTCTTTAAAACCGAATCGTATTGGCAAAAGTGATGCGTCGATGGGCTGCAGATTCTTTTACTATTGTTATACATTTATTTATTTATTTTCGTTTCGTTTATAATGTCGCAACAGCCACTTTGTGAGTTATTAGCGACTCAGGTAGATCATAGTCTGTTAGTCTTGTCAGTTTTAGAGATTGCAAGAGGTTCTTGGCTGTGCTAGTTAATTTTTATTATCAAATTAAAATTGAATTATAATTATTGATCATTTTCACTGGATATATGAAAATTAGATATAATTTTAATTTTAAAATTAATTTTTTCTTATTACTCAATAATTTTTTTTTATACCATAAGATTATTTCATAAGAATTTTATTGTAATTAATTTTAAATTATCATTTATCAGGTTGTCTTTCGTTCTACGCCTTCGAGGCACAATTTTTATATCTTCTATGTAAATGAAATACTAATTTTATTTGTTAACTTTGTGTCATTTCGATTGAGCTGTATAGTTTATAAGATATTTAAATATAATTATACACTTGTTTCGTCTATTTATTTCAGCGATGAAACAGAGCTTAAAAATAAGATAAAATCCTAGACAAATAGTAAAAATTGATGACATAATAAATATGTGATATTCTGTCATTAAAAACACTTCGTTTTAAGAATCTTCAGATCTTCTATACATTGCAATCCACAAAATTCTAACTTTATCTCTTAACTTTTGGTCTGATTTCGATTGAGCTGTATAGTTCATAGGGTATTTATGTCGAATTATACACTTGTTTCGTCTGTTTATTGCGATGAAACAGAGCTTGAAAATAAAACAGAACCCTAGTCAAATAGTAAAAATTGATGACATAATAAATATGCGAAATTCTGTCGTTAAAAACATTTCATTTGAGGAACCAAATCTTCAGATCTTCTATAGATTGCAATCCACATTATTCTAACTTTATCTGTTAACTTTTGATCTGATTTCGATTGAGCTGTATAGTTTATAGGATATCTATCGAATTATACACTTGTTTCGTCTGTTTATTGCGATGAAACAGAGCTTGAAAATAAAACAGAACCCTAGTCAAATAGTAAAAATTGATGACATAATAAATATGCGAAATTCTGTCGTTAAAAACATTTCGTTTTAAGAATCTTCAGACCTTCTATAGATTGCAATCCACAAAGAACGGTTATTATATTGCATTATGTGGTCCTGGAGGCCATAGAATTTTTGTTAGCGATACTTATTGCTATTATTTGGCAATCTCGACGATACTAAGGTGTCCCGTTTCTAGAAGGCTGTCCCGTATCTTGATTAAGCAAGCTATCTGAACGCACGGTAAGCTCTTTGCGCCGGTTACTCGAAATACTGGGACAAACGTAGCTTCCGGTCAAAAGAACCGGCCAGCGGGGGTGGCTGTTAAAACCTAAGCAGCTCAGGAAAAGCTGCTTACGATATTCGGAACGAAGGACGTGCCTCCGTCGCGAGTTGCCTTCCGTTCGTTCTAAATGACAGACTGTCAAGCACGTCAGCATTTCATTAGCATGAGTTACGTAGCCCCGGCGGCAGCTAATGGGTTCCACAAAAGGACGAACACTATGAAATGCTGCGTAAGACGATTCCATAACGAAACCGACGGCGATACAACATCGGTACCCGATCATTGTTATTTTTAACTCCGCAAATCCCTTCTGAGGGATCTCGACCACAATCGAGACGAAGAATGATTCTGATACTGGGGGAAATAAGAATCCACTAACGCACGTCTGAAAGAAACTCTAACGGAAATATCGCTCAAAGAACTCGCGATAAACTTGTTAATTGAATGTTAGAATTAAATTTTGAGTTTTCTAAATTTGTTGCATTAGATACCGATGATTGAGTCAATGCAATTTTTTACATTACATAATTTCATGCATTGTACTTTAACTATGATATATCTGACTCGTCACAAGCTTCACAATTATGAGGTCACTGGTCATCAAGCATTATAAATTAAAATCAACACATTTTAACATTCACGAGATATTCGTAAATCTATACTTTTTTGTGGCCATTCCTTGTACGAACAAATTTAAAGAATATTAAATACGTTTGAAAAATTATTTGGAATTGAATCGTAAGTCAAGGGGTTAAGGAAAACATGACTGAAAGAACTCGCGATAAACTCTTATCGTTAATTGAATATTAGAATTGAATTTTGATTTTCTAAAATTTGACCCATTAGGTATCAATGCAATTGAGTCGATGCAATTTTTTACAGTTAAATAATTTCATGTTTTGTACTTCAACAATGATATATCTGACTCGTCGCAAGTTCTTGATGTCAAGATTCACAATTATGAGGCCACTGGTCATCAAGCCTTATAAATTAAAATCGACACATTTGACCATTCACGAGATATTCGCAAATCTTTTCTTTTTCGTGGCCATTCCTTGCACGAACAAATTTAAACGAAATTAAATACGTTTGAAAAATTATTTGGAATTAAATCATAAGTCAAGGGGTTAACAGAGACATGGCTAAAAGAACTCGCGATAAACTCATCGTTAATTGAGTATTAGAATTGAATTTTGATTTTCTAAAATTGGACCCATTAGGTACCAATGCAATTGAGTCGATGCAATTTTTTACAGTTAAATAACTACGTGCATTGCACTGTAACAGAAACTAGACTGAAAGAACTCACGATAAACCCTTATCGTTAATTGAATATTAGAATTGAATTTTGATTTTCTAAAATTTGACCCATTAGGTATCAATGCAATTGAGTCGATGCAATTTTTTACAGTTAAATAATTTCATGTTTTGTACTTCAACGATGACGTATCTGACTCGTCGCAAGTTCTTGATGTCAAGATTCACAATTATGAGGCCACTGGTCATCAAGCCTTATAAATTAAAATCGACACATTTTACCATTCACGAGATATTCGCAAATCTATACTTTTTCGTGCCCATTCCTTGCACAAACAAATTTAAACGAAATTAAATACGTTTGAAAAATTATTTGGAATTAAATCATATGTCAAGGGGTTAACAGAGACATGGCTAAAAGAACTCGCGATAAACTCATCGTTAATTGAGTATTAGAATTGAATTTTGATTTTCTAAAATTGGACCCATTAGGTACCAATGCAATTGAGTCGATGCAATTTTTTACAGTTAAATAACTACGTGCATTGCACTGTAACAGAAACTAGACTGAAAGAACTCACGATAAACCCTTATCGTTAATTGAATATTAGAATTGAATTTTGATTTTCTAAAATTTGACCCATTAGGTATCAATGCAATTGAGTCGATGCAATTTTTTACAGTTAAATAATTTCATGTTTTGTACTTCAACGATGACGTATCTGACTCGTCGCAAGTTCTTGATGTCAAGATTCACAATTATGAGGCCACTGGTCATCAAGCCTTATAAATTAAAATCGACACATTTTACCATTCACGAGATATTCGCAAATCTTTTCTTTTTCGTGGCCATTCCTTGCACGAACAAATTTAAACGAAATTAAATACGTTTGAAAAATTATTTGGAATTAAATCATAAGTCAAGGGGTTAACAGAGACATGGCTAAAAGAACTCGCGATAAACTCATCGTTAATTGAGTATTAGAATTGAATTTTGATTTTCTAAAATTTGACCCATTAGGTACCAATGCAATTGAGTCGATGCAATTTTTTACAGTTAAATAACTACGTGCATTGCACTGTAACAGAAACTTGACTGAAAGAACTCACGATAAACTCTTATCGTTAATTGAATATTAGAATTGAATTTTGATTTTCTAAAATTTGACCCATTAGGTATCAATGCAATTGAGGCGATGCAATTTTTTACAGTTAAATAATTTCATGTTTTGTACTTCAACAATGATATATCTGACTCGTCGCAAGTTCTTGATGTCAAGATTCACAATTATGAGGCCACTGGTCATCAAGCCTTATAAATTAAAATCGACACATTTTACCATTCACGAGATATTCGCAAATCTTTTCTTTTTCGTGGCCATTCCTTGCACGAACAAATTTAAACGAAATTAAATACGTTTGAAAAATTATTTGGAATTAAATCATAAGTCAAGGGGTTAACAGAGACATGGCTAAAAGAACTCGCGATAAACTCATCGTTAATTGAGTATTAGAATTGAATTTTGATTTTCTAAAATTTGACCCATTAGGTACCAATGCAATTGAGTCGATGCAATTTTTTACAGTTAAATAACTACGTGCATTGCACTGTAACAGAAACTTGACTGAAAGAACTCACGATAAACCCTTATCGTTAATTGAATATTAGAATTAAATTTTAATTTTCTAAAATTTGATCCATTATCTACCAATATAAATAACTCTGTGCATTGTACCAGTTAAGATATTTTTCACGCTAAATATTTCATATTCCTTTCAAAATTTAAAATATCGTTGGAATTGTCTTCTGAGCTCAACGCGATCTTCGAGTTCGTAGTTCATAATACGTGGATATATAATGATATTCATAAATAAATTCGACAGCTGTTCCCGCGATACAATTCGGTGCAATTGAATTTACTTTAACGGAACGTGTCAGCGCGCTACGTTTCATTGGCCGCTATCATTGCCAGTGACAAATCGCGGTGTAGCCGATAATTATTACATACACGTATACTTTATGTTTGGGCTATTGATTAATGGTATCACGATAAATTGCAGTTCACCCGATGGTTCAAGTACCGAACCAGCTAGTTGGCGCACCAACTGGAACCGACGTTACGCTGGTTTGCCTCGTGGAAGCTTCCCCAAAGGCCATTAATTATTGGACACGCGAATCAGGTAAGATTCAATTAACTATTGCGGCATCGGTTTATTTCGTTGGCGTCCCGTCGAATAAAGTATGCAAAACGTTCGAAAAATTCGATTTACGTTCGACGTTTCTCGGATTCGAGCGACTTCGACGAGTTCCGTTGAAATATAAAAGTGCAACGCGTTCTTCATAGGGTGCACGCGATCCGGCAAAATGGTGGCACGGAGCACGTTTTTCCTGCGTAAATTTTTCATTTTACATGCTAAACACACCGCGGCAATATACTAAAAGCATTTATCCTTGCACAGCACACGTGTGCTCAACTTTTCACTATAAAATAGTAGGAATGTCTGGTTTGTAGGTCATTTCTTGAATTTCAAAAATTTCCCTCTTCTTTTAATATCGCGAATTGCGATTGTGCAAACCCCGACACGACAGGAATTAACATATTGATACATAAATGAGACCACCAAACATTTCTCTTCTTTTTTCTACGAACAACGCAAACCAGCTAATCTCTTCTACCAATTGTAAGCTTGAATCACCCAAAAACGAAAGATTCTACTTCATTTTCAAAAGTTAAAACTATAAATTCTTCTTCAGCTTCTATTTATCCTAAAATGATAACACGTGTTTAAACTTTTAATTGCAGGTGAAATGATAATCACTAACAACAAGTACAACATGTCGGAAAAGAAGACGTCGGTGTACAGCGTTCAAATGCAATTGATTATCCTGAATCTGCAGAAGCAGGATCTGGGTGGTTACAAATGCATCTCGAAGAATTCGATCGGTGACGCTGAGGGCAACATTCGTCTTTACGGTGAGCTTTATCATATTATGCACTAATTTTGATGTAAAAGAAAGTTCTACATACGTGATCCTGTCGTCCAAACGATCTCTCTCATCCTATTGTTGTTGAATTAATCAGTGTTAGTAAAAGCTTCCGCTGAAATAATTTCACAATGTTGATACATGCAGAGGAATTGTGCTGGAATTCGTCGTTTATCCACGGATATTCGTATTACCGACAAAACATGAAATTAAAAACCAGAGTATGAAAACAGCATCCTTCGTTTCGCTGCAACAGAGCGCAAACCTTACAAGTCTGTAACTCTTAAACAGTTGGATTTAATACGATTTCAAACTTTGCAAAGTAATAGTTATCAGATTTCGCGTACTGTTTGGTAGACGTGTTCGTAACATAAATCCATGCTTTAAGTGCTTCTGATTTGGTAGAACGTTAATACTTATTAAACATATACCTCATTCTGTAAACACTGTAATTACTCCATCAAATTGCAATTTGAAACGAAATTGAGTATTTCAACTGATATTAAAATATATTTGTACTATTCGAGTCCCAAAATTGTTCTTGGTTGCCTTGAAATCTCTCCCATTGTTGTTCGATTTTATTAACTCTTTGTCTGTAAAATGTTTTCTCTCGAGACTGTAAATATATGTATTACAATTTAATCCGAAGGGAATATCGATGAATGTCACGATAATAGAAAATTGAAATAAATCTCTCGTTTAGTTTCACACTTTGAAATCTCTGTCTGTAATATCCATTTCTCGGGAGATAAACTATCGTTGCCACAAAGGACGATTTAAAACAGATAAAAGAGCTATAATTTACACGCGTGTCGTAGCTTTGTAATGCATCCGATGTTAATAATTTACATACAAATCAAAGGTAAATCTTCACACGGAATAATCGAAACAATCGTTGTATTCGAATATGTAAAATAATACATATTTCAACTAAATGGAATAATTTGATCCGAACCGAAAGAAAGTTCTTTCATAATGTAGATAAATCTGGTTCACCTGTAAAATTCGTAGCATACTGAATGCGCGCGGTAAAGTAGATCGAACGACGTAGTTATTCGCAACATATAATGGTCGTCCACCTAATGACAATGGCAATTAGCATTGATTATTAATTTGAACGTAATAGCTGCTATATCGAGCTGCAATTTCCCAAGCAGCTTATTTTTGCAAAACTGATTATTATCGTCTGGCCTAGTTCAATTCTCTGCGCAAATCCAAATTCGTTTCGCTATTACTCGCAACGCCAAATATATCCGTTCATCTTTAGCGATAAAAAAACAAAAACATTTGCACGTTCGACCGACGGTGTATTCTGTTTCTAAATAAAATAAAAATTGTATGATTCCCGTATGAAACGATGTTTTGTAATTCGTTAATCGGGAAACTGTCCGCCAAACGAACGTTTAAATGGTATCGTTTGCAAAGTTAAATGTTTTAAAATATGGTTTTAAGTATATTAATATACTTTATAGTTTTATCTTTCATTGCATTTCTCGACAATTAAAAACTTATAAAAATTTATAGATAGCATCAAAAATCGTTAAAAAATGCTAAATTTGTATTGTTATATCAGCAAGGTAATATTATTAACAGTATTGCAATGCGTGGTAGTGGAATTAATCCAAATTAATTAACTGCCCCCGTTAATTTTCAGTTCACGAGAAACACAAGGATACTTAGAAACGTATATATCTCCCCGAAACAAGTCTACGTGTGCGCGTGAACGTTTATTCGTCGCATTTGGCAATATAAATTTTCCCATAAAAGTTCCGGGGGACAAACACACGCTGCATAACGAAACTACAACTTTAAAATGATCGAATTTATTGCGGCCTCGCGTTCGTCGGGCTCGCCGCGTTTTATATCACAAACTTCATAATGCAAATCCTTGGGGGAGGGACAAAATTATGAAACAAAATTCCGACTTTAAGACAATAGTACCAGCTCGTGTGCACATTTTTTTTTTATTACTTTAACCGGAGATCCGTCGTTCTATCGTTACGAATCTTTAAACCAACACTGCAGGATAAATAAATAAATAAATTAACGCTTAACACTGGAACTACCGACAATTATAGTGTGTTTATTTGTACCAAGGAAATTGAAACGATAGGTGAAATAAGTGTGATATAGGTGAAATAAGTGTTTATTCATTCTCTTATAGAAAATTACGATAAATTTCCAAAAATTCAGTCGAGTAAATTTTTTACAGATCTTATTAGAAATTACAAATGGGTCATTTTAACTGGTTTGGTAGTACTAGTGTTAATGACGATGAAATGTAATATATTCTAAAAAAATTATAGACCTCTTTCTTTAAGACGTAACAGATGGAACAAACCTATATTAATTTGCAAAATCTTATCCTTTTTTAAAACTTGGAATCGAATCAGACCTTCAGAAGAGTATATGAATTTTAAATATAAGAATTCTTTGAAATCTAATTCTTTTTTAACAATCAAAACGTGAGAAATTATTTCGAAATGTATGTCGATGACAATTTTAGAGGCCAAAATAAGACGAAAATCAAGAATACCAACTTGTTTATGGAGGCTTCGTTAAGAAGTTATTAACATTTAAAGTTACGCCCGTATTTAATTTTTTTCTCGAAAATGCGCAGGATGTTGGGGATATGTCTATTCACCAAAAACGGTTGTAATTGGCCTCCACAACTAAAAATCATTTTTCTAGAACGATTTAAATTTTTTAATTTTGTCGAGAAATTTTACACATTCTCGAATTTTTTTCTAGAAAATGCGCAGGATTTCGAAGATATGTCTATTCACAAAAAACAATTGTAATTGGCCCCCACAACTAAAAATAATTTTTCCAGAAGAATTTGAAATTTTTTAATTTTGTCGAGAAATTTTACACATTCTCGAATTTTTTTCTAGAAAATGGGTAGGATTTCGGGTGTATGTCTATTCACCAAAAACGATTATAATTGACCCTCGCAACCGAAAATAATTTTTTTAGAAAGATTTGAAAATGTTTTTTTTCGCTGAAAAATTTAGGCACGAACCCCCTGTCGATTTCTCTTACAAATTCGTTTTTGATTTTTACAAAAAAGTTGTCTAATACTTTTTTGTAGATGCCCATGTGCTCTACTTCAGAAAAAAGTTTCATTGAAATATATTCACTATTGCAGGAGTTATGGCTATTTGAAAATTGGACCATTTCTATGGGGTTTTTCTAACTTTACGGAGTCAAGATACAACTTTTTCAATATTGTTAGCATTTCTACATATTCTTGGCCAAAATACGTGTAGTTTGCCGTTTGAAACATTAAAATCGTCCAATCGGTTCAGAAGTTATGACGTTTTAAAGATACGCATGAAATTTCAGTGAAACATGTCAATGCATGGTCAGACATTATATTTTCGGTAAAGAATTTTTTTCTCGAAAATGCGTAGGAATTCGAGGATATATGTAATGACAAAAAATGATTATAATTGACCCCTGCAGTCAAAAATAATTTTTTTAGAACGATTTGAAATTTTTGAATCTAATTTTTCAATAACTTTTTAACGAAGCCTCAGTCAAGAAATTGATATTCTTGATTCTTGTCTTATTTTGGCCTCTAGAATCTCCCATTAAAATTTTCGATCAATGGGGAAAAATAAATTATCAGAAACGCAATACTTTTCGACACATTACACTAATATTACTTTGATTCTAAATAATAAATCAATTTGACCTCCTACAATATCTAAAACGGGCAAGACTATACAACCAGGCTACGACTTATCTGGGTCGCTAATAACCCACAAAACGATTGATGCAACGTTAAATAACGAAATGAATAAAAAAATATCTCCCAGATATATTGTGTTTGACGTCCACGTAGGTCGAAAAGTAAAAGTAAGGGGGGTAGAAACGAGGGGAAGAAATCCCTTTGAGGGATCGTCTGACCCTTCTCGTTTAAGCGCGAGGTATTAGGAGCCGATAGATCCGGGAAGACGTAACAAGTGGAGCAAATCGGGCTTAAGTATTTACGAGGAAATCACCGTAACACGCAGTCCATTATCAGCGCGCGAAGCTCCACGGCTGTCCCCCCTTCCCACCTCGGAACGCTTAATGACGGAAATTTTATCGCGTAAGCCGTGTAAACTAACAGACCCACCGCGTGTATTAGCGTCCAACGTTTGTGTGCGAAGGGTTGTCCCGGCGCGCGGCGTGCTCGAACTTCTCGTTGAAGTCACGCGATCAGATAAGCCCGGGGGATTAACCCTTAAACCGATGGTATAAACGGAGCGTGAAGAGAACGCCGAGAAGAGAAAAGAGCGCGGAGGTATGCAACGGGTGGCAATTTTCCATCCGCGACACGACAATATCGAATTAATTCGAACAACCGTGAAAAGACCGAGCCACGATCGCGTTGCAACGTCAGGGTCCGCTTGTCGAGCTTGCATTCATAATTTTTATTGAAAAATGATCGTTAAATACCAGTGTCGTGTAATAATAATTTGATACGCTGTGAAAAAAAAATAATATTTTTTTAGCAAATTTAAAAAAATTATCGAAGAGAATTGGAAAACTTCTAAAATATGGTAGAATATATCAGTATTGGAACATAAAAGGATGCATAGAAGCATACTGGTATTGTAATGTTGATTAGAAATTGAAAAAGTTTGTACATTTGTGAAATAATATATGAACATCGAAAAAACTTTATTATAGCTATTTTTCCATTTAATTTAGAAGGATTCCTTCAATCAGATCAAAATTCTCTTTATCGTAGTCATTTTTACTTTTAATTTAGATGGAAAAATGACTACGATAAAGCTGTTTTGATTTTCATATATTATTTTACAAATGCTGAAACTTTTGCAATTTGTAATCCGATTAAAGGAATCCTATTAAATTAAAAGGAAAAATGACCCCAACAAAGTTATTTTGATCTTCATATATTATTTTACAAATACAGAAACTTTTGCAATTCGTAATCCGATTAAAAAAGGAACCCTTCTAAATTAACAGAAAAAATGA